TTAAAGCTACATGTTTTTCCAAAAACTTACCAAGAAAAAAAAAAAAAAAAAAAAAAGGTCAAATAATGCACTCTCAAAATTCCACTACCTAATCATAAAAGATTATGAACAAAACTCAAGAAACAACAAAACAATCGAAAAGAAGAGAACAGAGGCAACATTTACTGGGTAATTCTCGTATTCAAAGGCACCCATGCTTTAGAGATTTCCTGGATAGAGGGGCTTCAGAGAAAAAAAGTGACCTAGTCAAGGGTTTAACCACTAATCAGCAGGACCTAAATACAAACCCGTAACTTAAATTCTCAATACCAGAAGATATATCTCTAGATGGATGCCAAGGTGATATATAAAAATGTACTACATTCTTATCATAACTCAGCTGCTCAAAACTGACTAATTTGGCAAGTTGTTTTTTTTTTTTTGTTTTTTTTTTTTTTTAATATAGTACAATCTTGAATTGCAGAATCAGGGGTTACTATTCCAATTTTTTTTTCTCCTGTGCCTCCTATATTTTCGCCAGCCAAAATATAACATAAACTCTACTTTAAACTAGTACTTTCCCTGAGTTTGAGTAGGGAAAAAAATAAATACTTCACTAATAGTTTAGAGGCTGAGAGAAAAGTGTGTCAAAATTACTAGAAATGGTTTCAAATTTATGTAATTTTATTAATAATTCTAGCTCTTAATTAAAGATAGTAATTGCAAATCTAAAGATAAAGAAATTATAATTTCTGTTCTCCAGGAACAAATCTTGGGAAAATCAGGATCTAAGAGGTTCAAACCATTACATCCTTCAAAATCATTTACTACAATTTTTTGTAATTCTGGGTTGGGGAAGTGGCGCAGCAGTTAAGAGCACTTGCTGCTCTTGCAGAGGACCTTGGTTTGAGTCCCAGCACACATGTGGTGGTTTACAACCATCCGTAACTCCAATTCCAGGGGATCCAAAGCCCTCTTCTGACTTCCTCAGGCACACACATGGTACACATATATACTTGTAGGCAAAACATTCACACACATATGTAAGACAAATCTTAAAAGGTCTTATTAAATTAAAGAAAAAATTCAGTGCTAGCTATTGGGGTAAATTCTGAAAGGTCAGAGAAGCAGAACAAGCCACAGCTAACCTCACCTCGCCAACTTCTCAGCCAATCCTGTTTCCTCAAACTGGAAGCTTCTAGAAGAGTCCTCACCTGAAAGGATCTCAGCTGAACTGCTGCTAAAAGCCTAAAAGCTTAAAAGCCTCTAGTTCCTGATCCTCACGCCTTATATACCTTTCTGCTTCCTGCCATCACTTCCTGGGATTAAAGGTGTGTGTCACCATGCCTGGCTGTTTCCAGTGTGGCCTTGAACTCACAGAGATATGGATGGATCTCTGCCTCCTGAATGCTAGGATTAAAGGCATGTGTTACCACTGCCTAACCTCTATGTTTAATATAGTGGCTGTTCTGTTCTCTGACTCCCAGATAAGTTTATTAGGGTATATAATATATCAACCACACACATAAAACAAATAAATGTAAAAAAAGTTAATAAATAATTTTAATGGCTCACATGAAAGTTTCTAACAACTATCCAATTCACAAGGAGATAACTATGTCCTTCCATGTCTGAGTTCCGATATACAGAATATCTGTTTATGAAACAAAGATTGTTTTTTTACATTTTACACACTGACATACTTGTGCTCAATATTAAGTAGATCTTTAAAGAAATACTGCAGGGGGGATGAAGAGATGACTTAGTGGTTAAGAGCACTGGTTGC